GTTGTCTTTATGAAACTACCACGTAAGCCCCACTCTACGATAAATTTAGTACTTGAGTGGGTCAAAGGTCGGTCAAAGTTCTTTCTTTGGTACATGGTGTAGAAAGAATGGTAAGCCATTGTTTTTGTCCTCTTGCTTTGCCTTCGAACAAAACAATCTATTTCAACATTTATGTTATTCAGAATTCTTTCCAGGATACTTGTTACAAGTGTCTCTTACAAGTGTCAATGTTATGGACTGGAGTCTTAAGAGCAGGCAAAGAAGAGTGAAAGGAGGGGATTATCAACATCGGTAACACAAACAAATCAGGGGATCATCGACAACCTCTTTGATGCTAAGACAAAAAATAGCCTCCTTTGCAGGCGTTCCGGGATCGGTCGATTTTTTTCGGGGGGGGGGACCAGGGATGGCATATTAGGGTCGGCGACCGGAGCTTCTACTCGTATTGCGTGCGATCTACGTACGTTTGATAATAAATAAGCCCCCAAAAATAAAACGACGAAGAGGGCTAATCTGACGCAATCCTACGACTCTGCTTGGACTACATTCTAAAGAGTCTGCTTGGACTACACTCTAAAGAGTAGACAAAAAAGACGAGAAAGCGAGGGATCATCAACATCGGAAAAGCAACCAGAAACAGGTCAAGGGCAAAACTAAACTGTGATCCCTGTCTGGCAATGAATTATGACATTCTGACCATTGGCAACTCTCTTAAGGTTTGATTCTAACTTTGTTATCTCTAGTCTAAGCTAAAGACACATTTTTTTCTTTTGTCTTACATGGTTCTAAAACAACAACCATTCGTCGCCGGTACCGGTGTTTTTGACACCTTTCTTATCATATACTGTCTCTCTTTCCTTCTTCACAGTAACTGAGGTATCGTTGATGAAGTGACTTGAGAAAAGTAACAAGATCACAACTTCGAATATGGAGCCCGGATACGGAGCTATCCTTTTAGGTACAATTTCATTTGTATGTTTGTATTGCGCAATTATGTCAAGGTAACAGTAACAAGAGAATGTAGAAACTTTTAGAAAAATAAGGAAAACAATACAACATATTGATAGAAAGCGATGGCAAGCAGGTCTACTTAGTACTTACTTTGCGATCATAGTAGCTTTGCAACAGATAAAGAATGTAAAGAACACAAAGTACCTGGTATTGCCCTTCAAATAGCCGGTCAGTGCCACTGTACACTGTGAGATAGGAAACTTTGCTTGAGTTTACTTTGTCCTAGCCTGGGTTCCATCCTGGTTAGTTTGCGTCCGCTCCTACAGTCGCTACCATCCTGGTTAGTTTACGTCCGCTCCTACAGTCGCTACCACCAACCAGTGGT